TCAAATAAATCTTGAATTTTTTTTCTATTATTATTTTCATTTAATAAATATAAATTATAAATATAAACATACGAAATAACTCTTACTCCATCATTGAGGATACATTTTTAAAACAGCTACACAAATTTCTATTGGATCTGTTTCAAATGGATGAATTAACATAGCAGTCCTCACGTGTTCTTCAGGAAAAATATTTGCCAAATGATAATGTATCTTTGTTCTGGTATCTAGGAATTCTCTTAACATATCTGATGGAATGGCCGAGTATAAGGAAGATGTAACGACATTTAATTGTGAATCTGAAGTACCCAGTCGTTGATTTGATCCTGATGGTGAACCTATATTTGAATTATTTGGTAGCCCTGCTTGATAAGAAGCTGGCGCCGAAGCAATACGTGTTACATGTTGATGACACTGTCCTCCTTCAGAGTGATCCCAACTACATAATGAATTTTTTTTTAAGTCCTTTATTCATTCGAAAGATGTAATAATCTATAGTTGTACATACAGTACTGCACACATAAGCGTCCGCAGTCGGGACCGAATGCGGACGCTTAAGTGGGGAGGTGACATCTGCGAATTTAACTAAACAAAAGAAAGGAGATCTGCTAAGTGGGATACCGATATATCAAGTGTCAGTTGTTCACATTCAGGAGTCGATATTAAATTACTTTGTTTCACTCGGCACGCTCGAACTCCACTCCGAAGTCCCATTTCCAAGAATTGGTGGGGAGAGCTTACGGACGCTTATGTGAACACTACTGTATGTACATATGTACAACTATAGTTGTACATCTTTCGATATACATATTCATACATACATATATACATATACAGTATATTCTCCTCAAGTGTCAGACCGCAAGGAAGCTAAACCTGACACTCGTAGAGTCAGGCACTACGTTTTCGAGCCTCGCGCCCGCCTTTGTAGTTTGCCGAACGTAGACAAGGACAGCGGATAAAAGATAAGCATGAAAGGTGAGTCAAGGCAACCAAGCAATTTAAATATCAACTTTTTTAATTTTACGTATTTTTATACCCGAAATTTTTCTTACCATATTGATGAGATTTTTCTGATGAAAATGATATCAAACACGATATAATTTGAATAACATTTACTTATTAACACGTTCACTGTCGCGCCAGATTTACAGGTTACTGTCAGGCGGCCACAAGAAAATACATTTTAAGCATAGGATTATAGTATTATGCTTTATAATTTTTTTTTCAATTGAAAATAATGTCTAGCTAGCTATGACGTTCAAAATTTTTAGTTGACAACATTTATTTTATTTTAATTATTCTAAACATTTGAGGCACTCCAGTCACTGATGACCACCATGGCCATATCGAGGAAACAATCTAACGTTAAAACTTATTGAGTGATTAATTTAATTTCATAATATATCGCTTTAGCGAGCCACCGTTTGGTTGCCAATTGTTTATCACATAGAGGCGGCCTACC